TACTATGACCAATGTCTGTTTTGGAAACGTATATTTACCTTTCCAAACATGCTTTAAGCGAAGTGATGTGCAGAAAGTCTCAACTTGCACTCTATATGCCAGAGGATCGAGTGTCAGGAGCAAGAGGAGACACCCCGGACTCCACAGGAGGAGGTGCAGTGGGTGACTGCACACAAAGCGACTGTCTATGAATAGTCTCATAAAGGGACTGGCCCTTAGAGATGTCACATTTACATTTAATCAGTTTGGTTGGTAATTACACATGGTTATCTTCCTCTGTTCCACTGCACTTTCAGAAACAGTTGGGGGTTTTGCATTGCTGAGCCACAGGGAATAACGAGACGTCGGGCATTAGTGTTTTCATGCAGAATGTCTGGGTTTTGGAAGGGATTACGGATGCCTATCTATAAAACAGAAGAGAGGCGGGCACAGAAAGTGCTCACACACAGCGGCTAGAAAGAGGAGCAGCTATAGGCAGTAATTTTAGAAACCGATGGATCAGATACAAACCCAAGGCTGCAGAGAGGTGAGGCAGGGATCTTGGCTCTTGCCCGGTTGTCTAGAATGCTGCCAGCTGCCTGGGACAAGGCGTTGAGCTAATTACAAGGTTGTGGTAAGTGGTTTGAAACAGTTTGATTGTGGGATAATTTTTATAATTCAGAATGGTAATTAAAGGGTCTGAACTTTTCTTAACCATCTAGGCTGAGAACATAGCCACAGGTCCCCCACAATCAGGGGGCTTACCCCCCGCTGCTCCATCTACCCTGACCTCACTCAGCGTTTGTCTGACCAGTAAGCTCTGCTCCCCCATCTCTGCCTCACACTTCCTTCCCACCCCAACTCCCCAAAAACCCTGGTGAGCCCCACTAGGCAAAAATGCAGGTGAGGCTTATGATCTGAGCAAAGGGTCTCAGCTCTCAGTGCAAACAGGCACTTCGGGGCTAATGGTACCATCCAGGTATGGGGCGCCTCTGAGACCCCCAGTGATCTGCGACACCTTTTCAGGGTGTTTGTGGAACAACGGGAAGGAAGAAACCATGTTGAGGCAAGGGTGGGCACTGGAAAGGGTGTGAGAAGCAGGTCCTCCACCAGCAAGCAACTGTGAATCTGCATCCAAAGCCCCAAAATCCCTCCAGTCTGCATCTCAGCAACTGTACTGTCACAAATGTGCAGAACATCACAGCCAGGAGAGCTCATTCTCAGACAGATCCGAATGGGGTAATTCAGTTTATACGATTTTATAGCCTGACCATATGATGGTAGCATTGGTTCCTGTCATCATGTCACCTGCACTATTTTTTTTTTTTTTTGCTGGGCAGGCACTCTACCACTTGAGACACGACTCCATTCCTTGTTTTATTGATATGTTTTGGTTTTAAGTCAGGATTTTTTTGCTATGTAGCCCAGGCTGGCTTTGAACTTGCTATCCTCCTGCAATCAGTCTTCTTGAGTGCTGTGATTACAGACACATACCACCATACTTTGTTTGCATTTAGGTAACTTTTTCTTTTTTCTTTTTTGGAGGGGGGAGAGTTTACTGAGATGAAAAAGTGTGAAGTGGGAGAGCAGAACCCCCAGAGGGGCTTCTTGGAGGGGATTCCAAGAGAGAGTGCTCCCTGTACTAGTAATTCTTTTGCTTTTTGTTTTTATTTTGCTTTGCTTTTGGCTGTTCTGTAGTTGAAACTCAGGGCTTTGCACTTGTTAGGCAGGCGCTCTACCACTTGAGGCATGACTCTGATCCTTTTTTTTTTTGGTGGCGCTGGGGCTTGAACTCAGGGCCTTTACCTTGAGCCACTCTACCAGCCCTATTTTTGTAAGGGGTTTTTCTAGATAGGGTCTCGTGAACCTTTTGCCCAGGTGGCTTCGAACCGAGATCCTCCTGATCTCTGCCTCCTGAGTAGCCTGGATTACAGTCATGAGCCACCGGTGCCCAGCTCATCCTTTTGCTTTACAGATTTTAGTTGTCTTGCGATAGGGTCTCACTTTTTGCCCAGGATGCTCTGAACTTTGATCCTCTTATTTATGCCTCCCACATAGATGCACGCCACTGTGCCCAACTACTGTTTGAGGTGGGATCTTGCTAACTTTTTCCCCAAGCTGGCCTCAAACTCTTTGAATTTCGAGTAGCCAAGTAGCTGGGATTACAGATGTGAGCCACTGTACCCAGTCTCACTACGTAATTCTTAATACCTGTTTACTGAACAGACTTACCAAACTTAGTGTGAGCAATCCCCAATTGTTGAGCATGTTCTATTTTTTAACAGGAAAAACTAGAAGCACCCTAAGTATCCAACAACAGGGGACTAGCCAAAGCTATTTTGATTTATTTACACACACACACACACACACACACACACACACACACACACTGAATATTTCGGTTATATATACGACCATTTTTTCAACAATAACTCTATGTTATTTCACATTATTAGTTTTAATTTCCTTCCCTTACATTGCTAGCCAGAGAGAACCCCCAGAAACATGTATGTAGATGGGGTTCAGCCATCACAGCCAGCATGGCAGCACCCAGGGTGAACCCTGGGGCTGAGCGGGGAGCCCCAAGCACACCTCTGAGACAGGCAGAAGAGCCAGCTCCTCTGACTCAGCTCAGGCCACCCTGCGGGCTGCGGGGCAGGGCCGGTGGGGCTCAGGGCCCCGCCAGTTACACATTCCAGACAACAGCCGCCAGCTCTCCCCGAATCCGGAGTGACGAATGCACACACTCACGGAGGTGAGCAACACATCATTTGATCCGTCTGTTCCCACTGTTGGGAGAAACAATGGCACAGGAATGGGGGCACTGGTCCAGTATCTGGGTGGGTTCTTGGAAACCAACCAACTTGACTTTTTAACCAGATTCTAATCTAACCAGTACTTCACTCCTGGAAACGGGAGCTGGTGGGAATACAGAAGTGTCTACACACCCCACTAAAATGCAAGCTGTACTCTTTGCTCTGTGGTGACACCAAGTTCATTTCCACTCTGCCAAGTCTTTCTTAAGGAAGTTGAAAGATTTATCAAACACACTGACTCTGCCAGGGCTCTGGTTCTGTCCATCTTTTCAGGACAGACAAAAGTGACTTTACTAATCAGATAGAGCTCAAAACTTCAGGTGCACTGCTGAATTCTGCTCCAACCACAAAAGCCCTCGGTTTGGCCCCACCACGTTGACAGGTCACAGAATAAGAAAGTGAGTCAGGAAAGTTCCTGGTATTTATACAGCGAACCATGACACAGAGGTTGGCCATTTGAGAACTTCCCAAAAGGAAGGGATTCTAGAGGAGCTACTGCAGACCAAAACGGCAGCCTCCCAGGGTCACACGGAAACCCAGATGTGTCACAGAAGCCAGTTCAGGATGGGCTGTCTTTCCCATCATGATTGACACCATATTCTCACTGGGGAAGTTCTGGACTGTTATCACAGAAAACCAGAAACATCTCAAAACATTTTCCAGAGTTTCAGTGCAGCTCCAGCAGTGGAAGGCACACACTTTTCCCACACAGTCTCACTAAACCACTTTCTTTCTTTTTTTTTGCAGGACTGGGGTTTGAACTCAGGGCCTTGTGCTCAGGCACTCTACCACTTGAGCCACACCCCCAGACCTTTTAGCTTTAGTTACTTTTCCAAAAAAAATCTCACTTTTATGTCCAGGTGCCCCTGGACTCATATTTATGCTTCCTGCATCGCTGGAATGACAGGCATGCACAAACACGCCCTGCTTTTATTGGTTGAGATGGGGTGTCTCGAACTTTTTTACGTGCGGTTGGTTTTGAACAGAGAGCCTCCTGATGTCTACCTCCCTGAGTAACTAGGATTATAGGCATGAGCCACTATGTACAGCTCAATTTTTAAATTCTTAAACTGATTTTTCTTTCTTCAAAAAGAATTCTGAAAATTCAGTACTAAGAAAGCACAGTAAAGATACAGATAGCGTCTTAAATGAGGTATTAAGTTTTCTGTCTACTGTGCAGCAATGTCACCTCCTTGCAAAAAAGGAACCAGGAAGCATTCCTGCCATGTATTTATAATGATGGCTGTCATGTTGACGCCCTGCACCTCATCCGTTTGGTTTTCTTCCTTGATTTAATCTACCACAATTCATCTACCTACTCCCCTTTAGGTGCAAAAATGACAACGAAGACCCAAACCATTTCCTAGATAGCTCTATTTTTAAAACATGAAAATCTGATCTAGTCTCAAAAAGGCCTCACATCAAGTTCTTACATGAAGACAACAGTTATTTACCACGTCTCAATTCCTTCAGGGCCTACAGGGCACGTCCCCACTGGCTCTCAGGTTTCTGGGACCTGGCCCTCCTCCCATCCGGAACTTCTGGAAATTGACACAATTCTCGGAACTACCCCTCCAGCAGTCAAAGTCCACTACCCAGAGGTGCAAGGGGTGGGGAAATGTCCACCTCCGGGACGCAGACATGTCTACCTGGCGCTTTCATTTTGAATTAAAGATCCAGAACTTCAGAGAGGGGAAAGGAGCGTGGGGACCGGTAACAAGGTGGTTTGGCAGGAAATCGGGACATCCAACCAGATTTCTTGCCGTTTCCCAGCCCAGGTAGGGGTGAGCCTGGAAGGGAAGCTATCTTCACCAGCTGCCTGGGTGACCCCGAGAATCCCAGCAAAGCGAGCTCTGGGGCGCGAAGGTCCCCTGGGACTCGAAAGCAGAGTGTTTTTTCCTCCTTTTCCGTCATCTTGTCCTTGGGAACCGCGAGGCGCCAGGTGGGGACACTCCCACGTGCCACGAGCTGTGCCCAGCCAGGGCGGGTTGCTCCAATCCAGAAGGACACTGGCAACTGCGCCCGACAAGGCGCGCGCAGAAGCCTCGCTGTCCTGGGGACGCCGTGTCCCCGAAGCATCCCAACTGCGACACTCCATTGTACAACCTCCGCACCCGGAGTCCCTCCGCACCCTAGCCGCTCGGCGCGGGCTGGCGAGCCACCTCCTCCACTGGGCGCCACCCGCACGCTGAGCCCCGCACTTACCTGTCCCACGCGGCAGACGCGCGGCACCCAGCAGCAGGGCCCCCAGCAGTGCCACTGTGACCCTGCAGCTCAGGCCGGCCATGGCTATAGGGCGCCTCGGCCTCGGGGTGGGGAAAGCGACTGTGGCGGGTGCTCGGAGCAGCGGCTGTGGGCGCCCAGCCGGGCACCAGGTGAGCTGCACTCCGCCCCAGCTCGCTCACCTGCGCGCAGGCGACAGCCAGGCCCCGCCCTGCGCAGCTGGAGAGCGCTGACCTGGCGGCTGCTTCCTCCCTGTCCTCCTCCCCTTCCTGCCTAGGCCACCACTTCTCCCGCCCAAGGGAGCACCCCGGGCGGGGGTGCTGGGTTCGCTTGCTAACCGCTGCGGCCTTGGGGCGGGCTTGTTCCCCACTTCCCGGGCTTTAGTTCTCCTTCCCAAGAAGAAGACAAGGGGAAACCAATCCGACTTCCCTTTGCATCTAGGTGTGCCTCGTTCTGGAGGAGAGTCATATTTGAAGGTCCCTAAGCCATTGCTTCCTTTGCTTGCTTTGCTTGCTTGCCTTGGGCTGAGTGTTGCTGGATTTTAAAGCCAGTGCTGGATCAGGCGCAGAGAGTCATGCTATAATCCCAGCCTCTCGGAAGGCAGAGAACAGGAGGATCACCACCTAGCTGGGGCCGTGGTGGCACAGTGGGTTTCCTCCCAGCTATGCAGAAGGCCATTAGCAGAAGGATCCCGATCCAGGCCAGCCCAGGCAAAAAAAAAGTCAGATCCTACCTGAAAAATAGCGAAAGCAAAAAAGGGCTGGGAGTATGGCTCAAATGCAAGCGTGAGTCCCTGAGTTCAAATCCTAGTACTGTCAGGAAATAAAACAAAACAAAATAATAAAGCAGCGCTGAGGTTGCTCCTCTCCAGACTGTGAGCCTGCAGCCACCAACCGAGTTACTCTGTTGAATTTTAATTTACTTTGATGCTGGGGACTTGTACTTGCTGAGCAAGCGCTCTACCACTGAGCTGCACCACCAAGTGCAGGGTGTTGAGTTTTTGAAGAACAATGAGAGTGAATGAATGCATGCAACTGGAAAGGGGCAAGAGAAGAAACCTAAACAGACCCATTGGCCCTTTAGTTGAGCTGTGAGGAGGGAGCAGTGTGTGCCTACGCAATGAGCTGTGAATAGTGCATGCCCCTTGTTGAGCTGTGAATGGAATGAGTATGGGATGGAGTGTGTGCACCCTGGGTGTGAGACATTCAAGTCACATGATAGTCTGCAAAGTCCACAGCACTGGGCGCCATTCCTACCCCCAGCTGCAGTGGTGCTCCCTGCCTCTGGCTTCAGAAGTCCCATGGTTTTCCTTCCATCCTTTAGGCCATCCAAAAAGTCTTGGGCCACAGGGAAAGATGGTGGATGGTTCACGAGCTCCTGGCTGGCAGACCACAGTTCAGCCAAAATGACTCTGTGACCCCTTGGGGCTACCTGTGCCCATGGGTAGCCAGAGGCTGGGCCAGCATCACCCAGAACAACCTGGGAGGCCTGGGATGGGCACCAAGGCACATGTGTCAGCATCCGTCTACAGTGTAACCCAACTTCTCTTTAATTTCTAGGAAAACCGAGCCTCTCTGCATGGCTCTACCCCTTATTATCAACAGGTGAGAAGTCATACCTTGGGAGCTCCATCCCTCTTTCTTCTCTTTGTCTTCAGTGAGGAGAATAAAGCAAACCCCACCCTCTGGGAGCCCCCAGCCCATCCAGGGGAACAGAGATGTGCACTCTGGGGTGTGACTCCACCTACAGCCTTACCTAGAGGGTCCCCTCCAGACTACAAGTTCTAGTCCACTTCCATCAAGCAGATCTATGGAAAACTGAGGTCTAGAGACTGAGAAAAGTAGGGAGGGCCTTGCTTATTCCCATTGAATTGAGGGCAAATCAAAATGTCTAGAGAAAAATCTAAACACCCTTTAAAAATGTTCATGCTAATGGTCACCAGTGGCTCACGCCTATAATCCTAGCTATTCAGGCAGAGATCAGGAGAATCCAGGTTTGAAACCAGCTCTGGCAAACAGTTCTTGAGACCTTGTCTCCAAAATATCCAACACAAAAAAAGAGCTGGGGCATGGCTCAAGTAGTAGAGGACTTGCCTAGCAAGTGTGACACCCTGAGTTCAAATCCCATTACCACCGAAAAAAAAAATGGGCTGACCAAAGGACAAATATAGATTTTTGTCTTTTCTTCTAAGGAGATGCTTGTATCTCAGCAGCTCTCCCTAGCATCCATAGCACCACTGTTTCCACATAGGCAACAATCACTGCCACCACAATAAGAAAAGAGTAGTGTGCTGAATTCAAATTATCTGAACTATTGCTTGACAAGTGAAGCCCAAGGGACACAGTATCTCATTGCCATCTCGTTTCTCCAGACTGCTTAACTGGCTTCCTTGGGCTAGTTGACACTGACTTTCTGAAAATGGCATGAGAATGAGATGTGAAATATGCGCGATGTCCAGACAATGGCAGCAAAGACACAGAGCTGAGAATAATGGAAGCATTTTGGCATCCTTTGCGCTGCAGACAAGATGTCCTCAGCCATCCTGGTCTGGGAGTGGAGCATGATCAAAGCTTTGTTAAGGGATGGAGAAAGTGTTGTCTTCACAAACATGACTGACCAGGAGGAGTGAGTTGAAAGCTCATTTCTGATCTGGAAGGAAATCCAGGCACCTATAATCTGTTGCCAGAGAAGAATGACAAAATCAGAGGTGAGGTTTTGTTTTTTTTTTTAGTACTGGGGTTTGAACTCAGGGCCTTGTGTTTAGTAGGCACTTGAGCCACTCCCACACCCCTTTTGCATTTTTTTACAGTGTTATTATTATTATCATTGGAGTACTGAGGACCCAACCTAGGGCCTTGCACATGATAGGCAAGTGCTCTAAACTACATCCTTAGTGTGTTGGGTATTTTGAGACAGTGTCTCTCTTTATGCCCCTGTTGGCCTCGACTATTACCTCCCTATTTACGCCTCCAGCACAGCTGGGATAAGAGGCATGCTCTACTATGCCCAGCCATCAGTTGAGATGGGGTCTTGAGAACTGTTTGCCAGGTAAGCCTTGAACTTTGATCCTCCAGATCTCCACCTCCTGAGTAGCTAGGATTACAGGTGTGAGCCACTGTGCTGGGCTAACAGGTGAGTTTTAGCATAGACTTTTTGATTTCTCATGAAACCATTTTATAAAGGCTACAAAATAGGAATTTAAAAAGTGTATAAGAAGCCAGGTGCTAATGGCTCAGGCCTGTAATCTTAGCTACTCAGGAAGCAGAGATCAGGAAGATCGAAATTCAAAGCCCAGCCTGGGGAAAGAGTTCATGCAACCCTATCTCGGAAGAAGAAACTTCACTGAAAAAGAGCTGGTGGAGTGGCTCGAGGTGAAGGCCCTGAGTTCAAACCCCAGTACCACAAAAAGAAAAAGAAAAGTACAGAGCAATCGCTCAGTGGTAGAGTCTAATATGTCCAAAGCCCTGGATTTGATCCACAGCATTGAAAAAAAAAAAGTGCATTAGGCCACACGGGGGGGAGATCAGAGAAGACAAGAACAAAGGCATCTTGGAATCTAGAAAGCAGATGGATGAGTGTAGAGTCATCTTAACTCTACTGCAGCAGAGAGAGTTTGAAATAACGTGATTGACACCATGGAGCCCTTAAAAAAAAAAAAAGCCCTCAGGAAATGGTAATTCCAGTTCTGGAACTGGAGGGGATTTTCACTGGAGAAGCTGAAACAAGGCAGGTTGGGAGAAAGTGGCTTGAGAAGTGCTGTTGTTAGATCCTTGGGCCCTTCTGCCTCCTTCCTGGTTGGGCACTGCCCCTCCTGCCCTGGCAGAAGTCTGAGTGTTGTTTCCTGGAGATACTGAAGCCCAGGGAGCTGGGCTGAGGGCTATGCCTTCTGGGAGTGCTTCCAACATTTCTATTTACTCATTTGTTTGTTTGGGTGCTGGGGATGGAACCCAGGACCAATACCATAGGCAACATTCAGAAAATAGGTAGCTACAGGGAGGAGATGCATTCTGAATGCTGAGAGCCCCAGCTGCCTGCCCAACCTGTCTCCCAGAATGGGACAAAGGCGCTTCATCATCCACACTGGCCATGGGAGAATCCTCCTGGGGGGCAGCAGGGGGTTCTGAGTAGCCAAGAGGGAAGACCCTGACCTGTATCAATAGGCTGAGGCCTGTCCACCACAGGCCTCCTGGCTGATAAGCCTACCAACACAGCCATTTCAACTCTCACTTTTAAATCTGACCTCAGACACTGGATGCCAGTGGCTCACGCCTGTAATCCTAGCTATGCAGGAAGCAGAGATCAGGAGGATTTTGGTTGGAAGCCAGCCCAGGCAAATAGTAGTTGCGACTCTATCTCAAAAATACTCAGCACAAAAACAGCTGTTGAAGCGGCTCAAGGTGTAGGCCCTGAGTTCAAATCCTAGAACCACAAAAAAAAAAAAAAGGAAAAAGGAAAAAAAAAAGCAATAACAACAACAAAAAACCAGTCAAACAAAAAAGTAATGTGGAGGAAAGAGACTATACAAAAGGAGGAAAGAAAAAAAAAGCAAAGTCACACAAAAATAATTAGTAACTTCTTAGATATAGAATTTCTTAGATATAGAAGACAGAGTTGTGTCTATGAAGCAGGAGCAGGATGTAATGAAAAATTAACACTCAGGGAAATACGCAAGTTTTGGGAGAAAATTTAGTGATAGTAAGTACTTAAAAAAAAAAAAAGAGGAGCTAGGTGAGGGTGACTTATGCCTGTAACACTACCTACTCAGGAGACAGAGATCAGGAGGATTGAGGTTCGAAGCCAGCCCAGGCAAATAGTTCAATAGTTCACGAGACCCTATCTCGAAAAACCCTATCACAAAAAAGGGCTGGTAGAGTGGCTCAAGTGGTAAAGCACTTGCCTAGGTGCTGAGTTCAGTGTGAGGCCCTGAGTTCAACCCCCAGTGCCACCAAAAAAAAAAAAAAAGAGAGAGAGAGAGAAAAGAAAAAGTGTGACAGTGGTAGAGTGCATGTGCAAAATCCTAGGTTTAATCTCCAAAATAAACAAATGAATAAATAGAAGTGTTGAGA